CTGTGATGTAGAGAAATATTATCTTCCACATTTTTCATGTCAAGAGACTGAGGCACAGGGATATTAAATGACTTGCCTTAGGTCACACAGAAAATGTTGTAGAACTAGAAATAAAACTCACATGTTCTGATTCCTGGTCTTTTGTCCTGATCATAAAATAATGGTAGACTAGGACTAATCTAGAGTGCAAAGTGCACCTGTCGCAAACAACAGGATCTTTTTTTCAGTCAGAGTGAATTAAGAAGATGAAATTGGTGAAGCACATCCAGAAACTTTATCAGCTTTCACTAATACAGAAAAATGTAATAGAAATAATAGGAATATGTAATATATGTAAATATAATCCACCCACGTGCACACAAGACCGTAAGAACATGGTCTTGGTCCTGCTGGGGCTGGTTTTGTTCAACATCTTCTTTAATGATCTGGATGGTGGGGTGGATTGCATTCTCAGCAAGTTGTGGGATGACACTAAGCAGGGGGAGCGGTAGAAACACAGGAAGGAAAGAACAGGTTCCAGACTGACTTAAACAAATTGGAGGATTGGGCCAAAAGAAATCTGATGAAGTTTAACAAGGACATGTGCAGAGTCCTGCACTTAGCATGGAAGAATCCCACGCACTGGGATTTAGTAGGGGTTGATTCGGCTTTGAACGGGGAGGTTGGACTAGATGACTTCCTGAGGTTTCTTCCAACCTTAATGTGATGTAATTTTTCTCTGATTCTTGATCTAGTCCGACCCCTTGCTTCAAAGCAAATAAATATTCTAGCTAGGGCTTTGTCTAGTCTGACTTTAAAAACCTGTAGGAGTGGAGATTTCACCACCTCCTTAGGCTACCCATTCCAGTGCTTCACCACCCTCTTAGAGAATTTTTCCCCTAATATCCAACCTAGACCTCTCCCACTACAACTTGAGACCATCGCTCCTCATTCTGTCATCTGTCACCATTTAGACTAACTAGCCTGTCTCCATTCTCTTTGGAAGTCCCTTCAGATCTCCTGAAGCTTCTTCCAACTCTAATCTTCTATGAGTCTATGAACATAAGAATGGCCATTCTGGGTCAAACCAAAGGTCCATCTGGCCCAGTATCCTGTCTTCCAACAATGGCCAATGCCAGCTGCCCAAACGAGAATGAACAGAACAGGAGATCAAGTGACCCCATTCTCTGTCACTCATTCACAGCTTCTAGCAAACAGAGGCAAGGGAAAACGTCCTGGCTAATAACTATTGATGGACCTACCCTCCATGAATTTATCAAAAGAGCCTTGCAAATCTGCAGATATCTGCTTTATATCCATGAGTATTTGCATCCACCGTTGCCAATGTGGATATTTGCAGCTCATTTTTGCTGATACAGATACAGATGCAGATACAGATTTTGTATAGGGCTCTATTTAGTCCCTTTCCCAATAGATTTGAAATATCAATGTGGTTAGCTCTTATTACAAAAAGTCACTAAGATGATATCATTCACTCATTTCTGGTTTACCTGGTTATGATCAAATGCATTGCTAAGTTTTCACTAAACATGTACTGCTAAATTTTGTAACCTGAAGCACGTACCATTCCATAGCCTTCAGCCAAACACATGACACTTGCAACTCCTAATACCCACTGCCAGCTTTTGCTAGGCCTCACTCTAAGCCCTAAGCATGTAAAACGCCAAGTCTATTTTTTAATAAATATATTATTAAATACTTGCAGTTACAGGTTTAATACTTCCATTCTTATTTCTATAAGCATGCTTGGAAGATTGAGTCCATTTTAAACAAACCTGTAGACCATGTAAAATCAGGCCATGATTTGACACCATCCTGGAACCCATTGAAGCAGCTATTCAAAAGTGTGGGCACAGAACCCCATCTCAAGAAAGTTTAGTCAGGATGGTGGCTATAGGTGATTTCAGTCATGGCCAAAAGTTTAAAGGCCAAAACTGAGGGAGGAGGTGGGGTCTGAAGGCGATAGATTCAAACTGTTTCTGTAACATCAGGTATTTGTGCCTCCTGTTTTTTGTTGTGAACCGACATATTATTGCTGGATAATCCATCAGCCATGGATAACTCATTTCATTATTTTCCTTTTACTCTGTGCCAGGATACATAGAACATGAAGTAAATTATTCCGTTCCATTTTATTTTTGCTTATAAGTTTTATGCTCCAAATCAATTACAAGTGCATAGTGCCCTTTTGCACCACTAGTTCTGTCTTTTTGCTGTGCATTAGATTTAGACTTTAGCTTGCCACAAACTAAGCCTTTATACAGGCAAGTCCTTAGATATCAGTGTAGAGATGTGTATTTAAGATGTTCTTTTGTAAATGCAAAGGAAGCCCTTGAATCTAATTTGAAGCCAAAATCTGACCTCAGTTATATGATTGCAAGTTTGGAGTAACTGTACTGTATTGTGATTTCAGGTTTCTGTTTTCTGCTTTACACGTTTAAAGATTATATATAGCATATTTTAGCAGTAGGTTACATGTCCAAGGAGTTACAGCTAATGCATCTCTTTCTTTCATGCTTATCTTCAGTCTCTTTGGGTCAAAATCAGTTTTGCTTATATTTATGTACATCAGGACAAATTCTAATGAATTCAGTTCCATCAATAGAACTGACAGAGTATGTCCAGTGAATGTCACATTTCAGGCAGTCCTGACTTTATTGAAACTGAAAGTGCAGTCTGGACCAAATTTATTGAACTAAGAGAAATATTACTTGTAAAAATATGGGCAACCTCTTACAACAGGTTGAAATTTTTTTTTGTCAAAAATGTGTATTGACAGGTAGAAATGTTCTTATGAAAATGTTTGAAGATGACTCAAAAATCAATTTTATTTGATTTTGTTTAGAACAATCAAGCCAAATTTTGTTTTCCAGTTGTTGAAAAAACAAAGTTTTTGTTGGCTTTTAATTTTCCATCAAAAGCCTGAAAAATTCCATACAAAAATTTGATACAAATGAAAAACTATTATTTTCTTTGCATTTTTTTTTAAATTAACTGCATTTTCAACTAGCTCTACAACAATCCATAGCTAAAACAAAAGCCTTACCAACATCGAGGATCTAGTTCACAAAGCCCAATACTGATTTTATGCAGAACACAATAATCCAAAAGTAGCTATTCAAAGTAATGTTTAATCATGATGTACAGTGAATTTTAGTGGGAGCAGGACCACGCTTGTTTAGGTACAGTATCAGAACTTTCAAAGTGAAGAACGAGAAAGCTAGTTTGGAGAGAATCATGGGTATAGTAGACAGGGCTTGCCAAGCAGTGGTGAGCCCCACTTGCCAGCTGTGTGAAAGCGCACGCTACGCATGCAATGACCGTGCTGTGCATGCGCTGACCGCGCTGCGCTGCCCTGCCAGGCTAAAGTCTATTCACCACGGGCGAGTAGATTGCTTGATTTGTCGGGCCTTGATAACGGGTACAATAAATCTCCTCCTTTGGACTGTAAACAATTATTGACATGGTAGCTATTTTATCAACAACTCAAAAATATTGATTTAACCAGGGCTGGCCAATAAGCATCCTGTGGTTTGCCAGGCTGAACCATCACTTCTCACAGCTTCTGTTGCCTGGGAATAACGAACCACAGCCAATGGGAGCTCCAAGTGGCTGAACCTCTGGATGCTTATATAAATAAGGACTAACCCTGGTGAACCACATCTGGACTGTGGCCTGCTTACTGCTCACCCCTGAACAAGACCCTCACATTTCAGCAACTAGCTCCATGTATTTTGTTAGAAACAGCTTTAAAGCCCATCTTGCCAGTTAGCAGTGGAGTTATTAGCCCTGATGGAAAAATTTTTCTTTGAAACATTTTTTACAGATATTGGCATTTTTATTAAATGAATTTTTTTGCCAGAAAAGCCATTGTCATTAAAAACGTTTGGGTGTCCATCAATATTTAAAGCAAAAATATGAAGAATATTGAAGAAAAGATGCAGTGAAAATAGGCAATATTAAGGGAAACAATTCCTGACAAGTTCTAATATGTCTCTAAAAACTGGATTAAAGAAAGATTTCACTTACTTTTGTACCAGAGAAGCCTGGAAGACCATGCTGACCTTGGTCACCAACATCTCCTTTCTTCCCAGATTGTCCAAAGGGGCCTGGAAAACCTGGTGGACCAGGTAGACCAGCAGGACCCCGTCTGGCTTCATCACTTTCAATACATTTGCAGTCTGATGTTTCACCTACAGAAATGTGGGAGGGAGGAAAATAAAGAAGCTCAATTAAAGCAATCATTTGCAAGAATTTATTATGAGAAACCATAGGCAAGATAATTAATCCCTAAAGAAGATGTGGATGCATTGGAGGAGGTCCAGCGGAGGGCAACAAAAATGAAAAGGAGGCTGAAGCACGTGATTTATGAGGAGAGGCTGAGGGATTTGGGGTTGTTTAGTCTGAAGAAGAGAAGAGTGAGGGGAGATTTGATAGCAGCCTTCAACTTCCTGAAGTAGGGTTCCAAAGAGGATGGAGAGAGGCTGTTCTCAGTAGAGACAGATGGCAGAACAAGGAGCAATGGTCTCAAGTTACAGTGGGAGAGGTCTAGGTTGGATATTAGGAAAAATTATTTCACTAGGAAGGTGGTGAAGTACTGGAATGGGTTACCTAGGGAGGAGGTGAAATCTCCATCCCTAGAGATTTTTAAGTCCCAGCTTGACAAAGCCCTGGCTGGGAAAATTTAGTTGGGGTTGGTCCTGCTTTGGGCAGGGGGCTGGACTCAATGACCTCCTGCGGTCTTGTCCAGCCCTATGATTCTATGTTTCTAAGACATGTAAAAAAGGACCTTTATGGTGAAAAGAAATATCCCTATGAGATCTTTTTCTTACTGTGTTACTGTTAGGCCAAATCCTGCAGTCCTAGTTCAGATCACACTCAGGCAAAACGCACAGTGAGCACAATAAGCTTTTTGGATGAGTAAGTACCTCAGGATTTGGCCCACTATTTGTACTCTTACCTTTATATCCTTTTAGTCCTCGTTTTCCAGGGAAACCTCGGCTGCCTATCTCACCTGGATCCCCCGTAGGTCCCTTCAGTCCAAAAGGATAGCCTATGAGGTCAATGCATTTAAAATCCAGCATTAATATATTGTATATTGACCCTGCTTCCCTTCCTTCCCATTCTTTATTCTGTTTTGAGCAGCACTGCATATGACTCCTCTCTTACCCTGCAAGTTTCTGTCATCTACCATCTACCTGGTTCCTCCCCACCTGTTTCTCTCTGTTTTTTTTAATTATGGCTCTCTGTCTTCTCAATATCTTCTCCCCCTTCTTGGTGACTCCGCACCCCCACCTCCTCATGTGACCTGCAGCCCTGACTCAACAGTCCCACTCACTTGACATGCTCTTCACTAAGCACTGCTCTCTAACTCGTTACTGCTGTCCTCCCCTGCGCTGACCGTCATTGGTCTCCCTCCATACTGCCCATTTGACCCCTCCCTGCCAGGCCACTTTGTCCTTTCGTGACGTCTAGGCCATCAACGTCTATTACTTTTCCTCTGCTCTCAGCCTGCTTCCTGCTTGCTCTTCCACTGAGGTTGTTGATTTTCTCTATTTTTCACTCTTTCACTCTATTTTGCCCCTTTCAGGGTCACCAATAGGGCAAAGGGGGCAGCTGCCCTGATGCCTGGTGATTTAAAAGAGCCTGCTGTTTCCAGTGTTACTGCAACCACGTCAACAGCGAGCTCTCTAGGCCCAATGAAATTGTTTCCATAGCCCAGACTACGCAGCCCACGCAGCGTAGAATGGCTGGCATGCGGGAGGCTAGCTCCCAGCCTGCTCCTTCCATGGAGGCTCCATCTTCTCTGGGAGGCCCAGAGCTGTACCCTCCTCCCCCCCCACACACACTTTTCCCAGGGACTCAGCATTGTCCTCAGTCCTATCCTTTTTCTCTCAGGCTGTGTCTAGACTGGCAAGTTTTCCCAGAAAATCAGCAGCTTTTCCGGAAATACTTGCCAGCTGTCTACACTGGCCACTTGAATTTCCGGAAAAGCACTGACGATCTCATGTAAAAATCATCAGTGCTTTTCCGGAAAAACTATGCTGCTCCTGTTCGAGCAAAAGTCTTTTTCCGAAAGACTTTTGCCCAAAAGGGCCAGTGTAGACAGCATAGTACTGTTTTCCGCAAAAAAGCCCCGATCGCGAAAATGGCGATCGGGGCTTTTTTGCGGAAAACCGCGTCTAACTTGGCCATGGACGCTTTTCTGCGGAAAAGCATCCTGCCAATCTAGACTCGCTTTTCCGAAAATGCTTTTAACGGAAAACTTTTCCATTAAAAGTATTTTCGGAAATTCATGCCAGTGTAGACGTAGCCTCAGTGTCTGCCCATGCATTCTCAGTTTAGGTTCATCCCAAACACCTGCTTCCTCTGCTCCTGTTCTTTTGCTGCTATGTGTCTCTGGCAGAAATCCCAAGACCAGATGGACTTCTTCCACTGCAAGTTTGCTCTGTCCTCCTTCAGTTCTGCTGTTTTCCTAGCAAAGCAGCTCTACTTCTCAAGACTAACTGGATCCTGCACCTGCAGTCCCAGAAACTTTGCACTCCCTCCTCAACGTAATCCCTTCTCCCATGCTCCCTTCCTGCTTTACTCTGGGTCTCACAGATTTCTTTAAAGAGCAAATTGACAAAGTATGACATGACCTTCACCTTTCCCTCTGTCTGGGTGCTCCAAATTTCATGGTACTCAACACAGCTGCATTTTTTGAGTATCCAGCAGGACAGCCCTGCTTAGACCTGTCAGCTGCTTCTGAAATCTTCAACTGTACTTTTCTTGAAATCTGTCCTTCCTCAGCTTTCATTACATTGTCCTCTCCTGCTTTACTTCCTCCCTCTTTAACTTCTCTTTCAGCATGTGCTTTGGAAAATCTTTCTTCCATTGATATCCATCCTTTGTCCAGGGACAAGAGGAGGGGAGAAGAGAACAGAGGATAGGAGAGGGCCATCTCTCACACAACCCCAAATTCAGTTATCATCCTTATGCCTCTCCACTGCAGATCAGTCTCCTTCCTGAACTAAAAACTCTCGGCTTTCTATATGACATTGCCTTATTGATGTCTACATATCAGTTTAAACTTAACAAGGACTAACCACAACTCTTGCTTGTACCTTTCAAAACATAATAATTTTGTTTTGCATCCTTTGGGTTTTCCCCCCTTTCTCATCACCTCAAATGTAAGTATTTTCATTTCCTAAGTTCTCCACAGCTTGTCCCCTCTCGTCCTGTAGATTACCTAATTGTCATCTTGCACCTCTGCTCTGTCAGGGTATGTCTGCACTAGCTCGTTAGTTCGAGCTAGGAAGGCAAATGAGGGCAACTGGGGTTGCAAATGAAGCCCAGGATTTAAGTATCCTCGTTCCACGAGGAGTAACGGTAGTTCGATTTAGAGATCCTAATTCGAACTACCTACTCCGTGCCGCGTGTAGCCATGGTCACGGAGTTCGGACTAAGGGGGATTTAAAAATGACGGCGCCCGGAAACATTCAAATGAAGCCCCGGATATTTAAATCCCGGGCTTCATTTGCAACCCCGGTTGCCCTCATTTGCCTTCCTAGCTCGAACTAATGAGCTAGTGTAGACATACCCTCAGTGTCACCAGCTGGCCTTCATCACACACTTGTTTAATTTTAAAACTAGCACTTTTGTGCTTTCTCCAATGTTAACCCTGGGTATGTCTACACTACCCCGCTAGTTCGAACTAGCGGGATAATGTATGCATACCGCACTTGCTAATGAAGCCCGGGATTTGAATTTCCCAGGCTTCATTAGCATAAGCGGGGAGCCGCCATTTTTAAATCCCCGCTGCTTCGAACCCCGTGTAGCGCGGCTACACGGGGCTCGAACTAGGTAGTTCGGAATAGGACCCTAGTCCGAACTACCTAGTTCGAGCCCCGTGTAGCCGCGCTACACGGGGTTCGAAGCAGCGGGGATTTAAAAATGGCGGCTCCCCGCTTATGCTAATGAAGCCCGGGAAATTCAAATCCCGGGCTTCATTAGCAAGTGCGGTATGCATACATTATCCCGCTAGTTCGAACTAGCGGGGTAGTGTAGACATACCCCCTCAGACTTGGGATGAGCTCCCTGTAAGCGTCCACAAAGCCATCTCATTGCCCCCCTCAAAACTCTTTGCAATGATGCCTACAAACAAACAACAAAACCCCAACAGTTACACAGCTGTTGTACTGAGGCCCCTGCTTATCATGTTGATCAGTATTGTTTCATGGGTTCCTTGCGCATCTCCCCGTTTTCTCTCAACTTACACTGATATTGCAAGCTCTTTGGGGGCAGTGACTGCATTTTTGTTGTGTATTAGTACAGCATCTGGCACCACAGACTCTAAAGCTCAGAAGTGCTGAATTAATAAATAATTGCAGTATTATTGATATGCAGTATTTGCTGTACCACATTTGACACATTACATTTACAAGCATGTCTAAACACCTAAAACATACAGTTCCATGGTAGATTAATGGCAACCTTTTGAAAGAAGAGTATGTGTCATAGGTTAACTCTTCAGATTCAATCAATGCATATCCCTTGTCCCCTGCTGGGCCAGAGGTTTGCTTGGTTCAGTGGAAAGCTGACTGTAAACTATCTAAGTTCATAGTTCTTTACATCTTCCTTCCAATTTCTGGGGTTTTATGGTCTGTTTAAACTCATGGTAAAGCTTGGAGCAGCTTCAACACTGCTCTAAATTTCATAAACTGGCTGAGGACACATCATCATACGCTGAGACTTCCCTAGGAACACAGCATTCCAGATACTCCTCTACTGTTGTGGTGGGGTGCTTTGAAGTAGCTATTCCATGTTAGGGGAATGCTCAGCAGACCGCTTAGGATACCTGTGTTAGATGATCTACTGTATCACTAGCCAGGATCTAGTCCATCTAGTCTAGTCTAATTCTGAAATTTTAAAAATACTACTGAAAGTCATGTTTTAGGTCCACATCCTATACCAGATTGCTGGATTATTTCCTTTTAGTGGTGGAGAGAGAGCCATACTAATCCTGCTACTAGATGTTTTGGTATCTTTTCAAATGATCATAAGATATTGCTCATGAAGCAGAGACATAGTGGGGTTGGACAAAACTGAAATCCGATGTTTTACATCATTCTTCTTAGGCAGATCACAAAGAGTAAAAGCGGGCACCTTTTCCTGAAGCAATGAAGGCAATGGCAGATTTTCATGGTCAATGTATAAAGAAGACCGCTGGAGGAGATGGTGAGACGCTACAGACTTAAATATAGGTGCTAGAATGGGGGGCACTGGTGCACCTCCTGGCTTGAAGTAGTAAGACACGGCTTTCTCCTTCAGAACATCACTTGGTCCAGTATCACTGATTAGCAATACCTCAATGATAGCCAGAGCCCTGGTAACTGTCCCAAGCACCTGAGTGAATGGTGCCTGGATGAAAAGCTGGTTACAGGCACCGACGCTCTGGACTGGAGCAGAAATAGTGGGTGCTGAGCACCCATTGGTAGGTCTCTTTTCCCTTCCCCTCCTGTCTGCAGTGGGTCCCAATGATCAGTTTTTCCCTGTCCCGCTCCCCCGCAGTGTCTGTGGCACGTCGCCAAAAAGCTGGGTGATGAATGGCCCAGATGCTGGAGTGGAAGGGGTGGGACCACCCCCTTTCAGACACTGAAAAGCTGTTCTGCAGCCCTGCCTGGTGGCTGTTTGAGAGAGCCTAGCTGGGGAGGTGACTTCTACTCTCTGCCTCCTCCCCAGCCAGGCTCTCGCAGGCAGCTGCAGCCCAAGGCTGCAGAACAGCAACCAGGAGAGGCCAGCATTAAAAGGGGCTCCCTACTGCTCCATGCCTGGCACCCTGCCTGCCAGGGAGAGTGGCAGAATGTGTGGGGGATGGGGAGAGGTACAGTGGACAGATAGAGCATCTCCCCCACACAGATACCATTGGGTGGGAGAGTGGGGTGGCACTGAGGCTAGATGCAGGAAGGCAGATATGTAACCCTTCCCTTTAGATTGGGCCCGCCTACTATGAGGAGGCACCAGTTTAATAGGGCACTCTCGTAGCAGGGGGTGGAACAAGGGTGGTAAGAAGTGGGGCAGGGGTGGAACACTGAGGGAAGAGGTGAGTTGGGGCACGGCCTAGGATGGAGTGTGTGTGTGTGTGTGTGTGTGTGTGTGTGTGTGTGTGTGTGTGTGTGTGTGTGTGTGTGTGTGTGTGTGTGTGTGTGTGTGTGTGTGTGTGTGTGGGGGGGGGGGGGGTGATCACTCTCTCCAACCTGTGAAATCTGGAAGTTGATGCCTATGCATCTGATAGCTAAAATGTAACTCAGCAAGAAGATGTGATGCTGATAAAGAAAAAAAGGAAATACTGAAAAAGGTAAAAGGTGGCTGAAAAACTCAGGGCCTCAGTACTCCTAGACAACTAAATAATGGTCAATGTCAGCGCTGTTTAAAATCTTTGGCTGGCCAGAAGGCTACACCCACTCCTGTCCCATTCTAGACTAATGGCTCATGTTTGCCACCCTCATACTTAATTGTGGACACAACTACTTGAAAAACATTGGAACAAAAGGAGCCCTAGCAGTAGTGTATCCCTTATTGCTCAAAATTTGAGCAGGGCAAAATTTCTCTGTTGAAAACTGCAAACCAACTAGTCGTGTTCCGCTGTTTGTTATTAATGTTTGAAAACCAGGTGAACACATCTTCCTTCCTGTGTTTCTTTGTCCTTTTGGCACTCTCCCTCCTGCCCACGTGTGCGTAGAACCACTAACTCTCCTCCACATCCTACTCCTGGCATTGAACACCCATTCTTCTCCCAATGTGACCTATTGACATGACATGCCAGTAGTTTTCTTAGAAAATGATGAAACAACATTTCTGATTCCCTATAATTAAACCTGTTCATTCTCCGAATACCTTACTGTTTGGCACTCACAAATTCTGGCCACTCACCTGCAATTCCTGGAGGGCCAGGTGGGCCAGGTAATCCTGGAAGTCCAGGTTTACCATCACTACCACGTGGACCTGGCTGATATGCTGGAAAACCTGATTCTCCACGGAAACCTTTGGGACCCATTTCCCCAGGTAACCCTCTCTTTTCAGAGTCTTCTGAAATGAGAATAAAGCAAACAAGAAAATGAAAATGATTTATTGAAACTGCTTCCAGATTAAGAGGTTTGCCATGCTAGGTTAGAGAGAAGAAGTAGCGTAACTACTCCCATCAAGTAAGGAAACAGTGCAGGTATTTTGTATATAGTGAAAATAGCACTTTTCACTTGAATATGTTAGCAAGGTATAAAGGTATCATTACCCTGTTTGCAAGTGACTTGCCCAAATTTGCACCAGACAGGAATTAGGGATGTGAATGGTTAACTGGGTGATGCTTACTGGTTATGGGTAGCCAGTAGGGGCTAGAGCAGCTCCTCCCCCACTGTAGGCAAGGGGCAGTCTGGTAGGGCTTGCCATAGTTGGGGGCACCTCAGCCCAGCCAGAAGAGTCTCCTCCCACAGTGAGGAAGCCACTCCAGCTCGGCTGTGGGCCCTCTTCCTGACCTGGGTTAAGCAGTTAATCGGATTAATATAATGTTTAATGGATTAAATGGGATTTTAAAACCTTAACAGGACTGGAATCCAGGTCTCCTTATTCCCAGTCCAGTTCCTTATCCATCAGACCCTGAACTCCACATGCGTCTTTGTATGTATTCCTGCCCCACCTCCCACATAATTCTGACCAAAATTGGAGCTCAGCAGATGATTGTGAGTCAGTATTTAAGGTCATGAAATGCCAGAATATTACCAGGAAAGCCATTGGACCTTAACAGGACTGGAATCCAGGTCTCCTTATTCCCAGTCCAGTTCCTTATCCATCAGACCCTGAACTCCACATGCGTCTTTGTATGTATTCCTGCCCCACCTCCCACATAATTCTGACCAAAATTGGAGCTCAGCAGATGATTGTGAGTCAGTATTTAAGGTCATGAAATGCCAGAATATTACCAGGAAAGCCATTGGA